TTTTCTATTCTATTTTCGTTTTTGATTGTTTGTTTGGCCAATTTCTCATCAATGGAAGAATTCTATACAAGAAAATTATATGATGATGATGTTGATCATCGTCGTAAGGTAAACGAATATTGATGATGGTCAATAGTGGTGATTTAGTGGTGTTGATTCGACCAGTTCTTTGGCTTTTCAGCTTTGGTTTATTTTCGATTTTTTGCATTTTTTTTGCAGAAAAAAATTGGTTGCAGTTTTTTGAAAATGCTTGCGAAATTCGTTTATGGTGACAACAATGTTGACAACAACAACAACGATAATAGGGTGAAGGGAAGGTGGAAAAAAAACTGATCCAAAAAACTGGGAAATCAAAAAGATTTTTTCTTTAAAAAGGTAACCTTGTTTGTTGAATAACCCACTATCGATCAATCCTAACCTTATTTTATTCTTGAAAAGCAAAGGAAAATATTTTCAATTGAAATTGAGTTTCTTTTTTTGCAGAAATCAATAAAGAAATTGACACACACACAAACACACACACTTGTTACATTTTTTTTATTGAAATGAAATTGTTTTTTCCAAAAATCAAATACAGGGTCAATTTTTTTTGTCATTTTTCCCAACGAACAACAAAAAAACCATTCATTTACATGTTGACCATGAAATTTTCAAATGCAAAAATTTCTATTGACAAACTTGAATTACGCGAGTAGTCTCGAGCTTGTTTTTTTCGGGTAGGGTCAGGTTGTTGTTAAATATGGAATGGTTATGGAATGTTTTTTCTCTCTAACAAACAAAAAAAAAAGATAAGATTCAAAACTTTCATCGGATATTTTTTTGCTTTTTGCCTGCAATTTGACAATAGACAACCAAATCGATCCAACCAACCAAAAACCCACTCATTGAGACATCATACTGTCGAAATAGAATGGAAAAAAAACGTTTTTTCCTACCACCACCATTGGATCCGACAATTTTCAAACAACCGAATGTGGATAGAGAGAGAGAGAGAGAGAGAGAGAGAGAGAGAGAGAGAGAACTTGTAACTTGAGATTCATTTCTCCATGACATTAATAACGAAAGGATTGTTTTTTTNAATTTTCAAACAACCGACTGTGTATAGAGAGAGAGAGAGAGAGAGAGAGAGAGAGAGAGAGAGAGAGAGAACTTGTAACTTGAGATTCATTTCTCCATGACATTAATAACGAAAGGATTGTTTTTTTGGTCAGCAACGACAAGTGGCCAATTAGGAAAATATTTTTTTTAACCCCCACGCACTATAGAAGAAAAAAAACTAAATAATTTCATGCTTTTAACAAAATAAAATGATCCAGGATTTCTTTTAAAGAAGAAGAATTTTTCTGCAATTCTATTTTGTTCAATAAGGGTAAATATCCATAACAAAATCGATTATATATGATCGATGTATTGAACAAACGAAAAAAAGAAAAATCAGATGACAAAGTCGTTGATCATCAATGGTCAAGCTTATAGCCAATTTCTTTTCTTTTTCCACTAACGAAAAAGAAATAAGTTAAGGTCAAGGAACATATATAATGAAATGAAAATCAAACCATAATAAAAATCGAATCGAAATCTTTTCACCACTCCTCTAACAAGCGGGGATGGTCGAAAAAGAGGGGGTGAAAAACATCCCGATGCACCACCACCACCAAAAGCAAACAAACAAACAAACAATGAGTATTATTCATGGCTGAAGAAAAAAAAACGAAATCTATCCAAGTATTTAGTCATGGTGTTCAAAGGTTGTAACAACCATGGCCAAGCAAGCTATCGAGTTGTAGCTTGCATGGCATGGTTTCCCTAAACAAATGTACAGATTCCAAAGTTTTCTTGCTTTGCACTCCCAAACAAACAAAACAAAAACGAAACGAAACGAAATAAAAAATCAATTGAAATAAACTAACCGAATAAAATCCTTGGACATTCAAATGAGAAAAATTTATCAGATTTGGAAAAATTTTCTAACAAGTTTATTGGTCACACACCAAACACCAAACAAGCTAAATCAGACCAATAAACTTTGTTTGGTCCAATATTTATTCAATATTTTTACAAGGACCAAAAAACAAACAAATAGTAAATAGTAAATGGAAAATCTGAAAACGTTCCATGAAATATTTGACCAGTGTTGAAAAAAAAACTACAACAACAGTAACAAATATGAGGACAAAGTTTATGTTTCAATAGCAGTAGAAAAAAAGGATCAAATATTTGGCTGAAAAAATGTATATCACTTTTTATTTACGTTGAAATCCTTTAGGATCATGGAATTATGGACCCGGTATGAAATGAAGAAGTAAATGGAAAAGAAAAACCTTTTGGCACACAAGCAAACAAACAAACAAGCAAACATTGTAAAAATGAAATAACAGAATGAACATTTTTGTATCACGATCATGATGATAAACAGACAAACAAACAAACAAGAAAATAAAGATATATATTTGTTTGTTGAATATTTTTTTTCGATACAATCATTGATAAGGATATTTGGGTCCTTAAGATCCAAAACAACCTTGTCAATCAAATCAAATCAAATCGAATGACATTTCAAATATTATCAATTTCGGTTAGGATAAAGATGACTTAATTTGTTCGTTGTTTGTTTGTTTGTTGAGAAAATTTTTTTTCTTGTTAAAAATGACGACGAAACATTGAATTTTATCGATCGAAAAAATCAAATGATAATGATGACGATGATGGTGGTGGTGGTGTACAAGTTGTGTGGCCATATCACATCATCAATGGAAAAAAAAGAAAAAAAAATGTCATTAACATCATGATGATCGAAAAAGTAGAAATAGAAATCGAAAAAAATAAATGTCACTGGTTACCTGTTGATGTTGATGATACCTGTTTTTACTTTTTCAGAAACTTTTGCTTTTTTTTCATGTCTATTTTGGTTTGAAGAAATTTTTAAAATCAAAAAACATAGATAACGATGGTTTCAATTTCAATTTACCAGGAAAAAAATGTGGCTAATAACCGGTTATAACCGTTTTTTTTTCTTGTTTGTTTGTTTGTTAAAAGGTGATGGCCGATTTTGCCCGGTAGATCGGTTTTTTGTTTACGATTGACAATTATTATCATCAACGATGGTTGAAGAAGAAAAAAAACAAAATTCTTCTCCATAAACATTGATAAAATGTCTTTTTTTGTTGGTTTTCAATTGAAAAAAGATGTTATCATTATTTGTGACATCATCATTATCATCATCATCATCAAGGTAAATAAATGAAGGTAAAAAAAACTTAGTACGGAATTTTGTAGTTTAATTTAATTTAGTCAATTTATTAGAAAACAAAGAATGAGTATTATATAAGAGTGGATAAGTGTGATGAACGAATTAATCGATTCAACTATCGATTCGAATGTTTTTGTTTTTGATTCGTTCATCAATTGCTTTGCAATTTGATTTGTATAATTATCATTGATTAAATGTTTTTATTGATTTTAATGTTGTGAAATATTTATCCAAAAATGAAAACAAATTCAATATCAACAGCATGTGGTAACGAACATCAATCTACGAGCTGAGATTTCAATGAGAAAAAGCATCGAAAATTTGGCAAAAAAAAGATTATCGAAAGAATCGATCATCATGGTCATTCAAATGTACACAATTAAAATCGAAAATTGTTTGTTTGTGATTGACAATCAAAGTTTTTTTTTCTTCTCAAAAATTCTCAATGTTTATGTGGTTTTTTTCTGGAAATAGGCAAGAGGATTTTCAACCAAACAAAATAACAGTTGTTTGTATAAATTCCAACAAAACAACAACAACAAAAAAAAAAGAAAAATCCAAACATTCATTTTAGGAGAAAGTAAGTAAGTATAGAATGAATGAATCTGGAAACAACAAAAAAAATTTAATTTTTTCGATTTCAATTAGAACAAAAGCATTATGAAACACATCTGATGAACAAATGGTTGAAACGAGAGAAAACAAAATCTCTCTCTCTCTCCCCTCATCATCATAATCATCATTTTGAAAATGTAAATAAAAACGATGTGATTAGGAACACACACATGCACTTCGTTCAAAAACTCTGAACAATGAATGAATGAATGAATGAACATTCATTCCCAAGAAAAAATAAAATAAATGTGAAATCCATCCATTCAATTCGATTGAACAGAAGTAAACATCATTTTTAAGAATTTTTCGTTCTCATTCTCTTCAAAAACAAAACAAAAAAATCTGACATCTTAAGAAAAAAAAAATCTCAACTTTAAATACAATAAGAGAAACCCGTGTGTTTGTGGTGGTGGTGATGGTGGTGGAAATAGAGTGGGAAAAAAACTGAAGAAACATCATTGATTGACAAATCGATTGGTGGTGGTGGTGAAAGGTCAGGCCATGTATGTAAGCATTTTGCTATTTTTCACTTGTTCTCTATTTCTTTCTCTCCATCAGCTTTAACAGAAAATTTTGTTTTGGTTTCGGTTGGTTAGATTCAATATTATGATTACGATGATGATGATGATGATGAAAATCGACAGACAAATTCGTTTTCAATTCCAAATGATAAACAAATCTTGTTTTTTTGAATATTTTTCTTTCCTCTCTCTCACATCCACTCACAAACTAATTGATTAAGTAATCATTATTGAAATGACCATATGATGAGAAATTGAAATCTTTTAAAAACAAAACGAAAAAAAAAATTGAAAACACCTACCATTTGACCCAATGTTGTTCCATTATGTGGATGATATGGTGAATGTGTATTACCGAATGGTGGATAACCAAATGGTGAATATTGATGTAATGTTGTTGGTTCAAATTTTCCTATAAATTTCGATGAAAGAAAAAAGTGAATCATAATTATCATATAAGAATCGATAAGAGAAATATTTTTGATTTATGGAATGTTTGAACTGATATCAATGACAATGAAAATGAGAATGAAAAATTCAAGCCTTTCAAGCAACAATGATAACACAGTAGCCATTAACAAGGTCGATATTGATCTAATTAATCGTTTAAATATTTAAATTCAAATTCAATGTTGAAAAGAAGAAAAAAATTTTCGGTGATGCGATTCACCCACACAAACACCAAACAATATTCTATAAAGGTAACTATGAACATCCATTAATCATCATCATCATCATCATTTTATAATGGTCGGTATTATTATCATTTTTTGTGGTTGATAAATGCCTGTTTACAGTGATGATGATGATGATGGATGCTATCTTTTCATTTTCATTTCTTTTCATTCTTTTCAAATTTTAAAACACTTTCTCCCTTTCATCCTCTTTTCCATTTTCTTTCCTTTTCTTCTTGAATTTGATAATTTAGTTTTTTTGTCCATGACATTTTCAATTCAATTCTGTTATCAAGAGCAGATTATTAATGAATTTTAACGAATTCTGTTAATTCTGTTAATTAATTAATTAATTAATCAATCAAAAAAGAAAGATTCTTTTCATTTTTTTTCCTTCCGAAAAAATATTCTTTCTTTCTTTTTTTGTTGTTGTTAAGACAAACAAACAAAGAAATCCAACAACAACAACAACAACAACAACAAGTCTTATTCAATCTTAATAACCACATGACAAGCAAGCAAGCTCGAGAACAAATGATCATCATCAACAACAACAACAACAACATCGACATACAAACATCTGGTTTGTTTTGTTTTGTTTGTAAAATCAACTCAAGTCATTTAATCATCAAAATGTAAATGTAAATGAAAAAAGACAAGACGAATCGGAAGTATGTTTTGTTAGTCTATCATCATCATCACTATGATCATCATTAGCTACTGAACTACAATGATGATCATCAAATGGGCCAAAGGGCCAAGACCATCATCATCATATGAAATGAATGAATGACACCCATCATCATCATCGTTACAAAACATACACAGATTCTCAGCAGAAGAAGAAAACGATCCTTTTTTTCCAGAAAGATTTTTTTTTTCGTTGGTCAAATTCATTCACAACTAATGAGCTAATTTTCTCTATTTCAAATGTGTGTGTGTGTGTGTGTTGCAAGACAAAACAAAACCAATTCCAATGTGTGCTGTATGGATTCTTTCTCTCTCTCTCTCTATATATGTTTGAAACTTTAAACGTCAACCATACAAACAAAATATAATGATGATGGTGATGATGAACTAAACAGAGGGACTAACAAAAAAGTTTACACGAGAGTTTTTCTTACTGATGGATGGATGGTATAAATCTCATTATTCTTCCTCTGCATCGAGATATATTGGTGGAAATGAAATTCATATGGTCAGCTATTTTTTTTTCCTCTTCTCTATGTGTGTGTTTGGTTTCAATGTATTTCCCACTCACTAAAAAAAACACACATGCATGGACATTGGACCTAGAACTTTCAACTTGGTGTGACTATTGGAAATTTTTTAGTTTTTTTTTTGTTTTTGTTAAAATTACAAAGTTTGTAATTTTAGACCCACCAAAAAAAGTCAATAATCCTAAATTCACATAGCAATTTTTCGCTTCTCTTTAAAACCTAAAAACAAAAAACAAAAAAAAACAAATTAATCTTACAACACATATCCAAAAGTGAAACAAAAAAAAATTAAGCCATTGATATGATTCAACAAGTTTTTGTTTTGTTTTGTTTGGTTTGTTTGTAAATCTCATAGATAGAATTATCATCTGATTGAATATGATGATGAGAGGATATATATGTTGTGTGGTAATCATCAAAAATATATAGGCAATACAATATTGCAACTCAATAACTTTTTTTTTTAAATAAAAAAGAAAGATCCTAATAAATCTAATTGAGATTTACATTATTTTGATTATGATGATTGTTGTTGTTGTTGTGTGGATTTAGGTAAACAAAAAACACAAAAAAAAACATGGAAAGAAAATCACTATTTTGCTGTACCAAACATTTATTTTGTTTGATAAAGTAAGAAAAAATCCAAATGAAATCTACACACACAGAACAAACAAACACAAAATCTTTATCATCAAAAAAAAAGGTGAATTGAGATAAAGAAATTTCCGTAATAATCATAATAATCATAAAAAAAAGCAAAAAAGAAACATTCTTGTTTTAGTCATCATTTTTTCTTTATTTATTCTCGACGACGACGACTATTCGATCATAATAATGATGATTAATTTTGTTGTTGTTGTTAGTTAGTTTGTTGTCGTTTTTTTTCATCATCCTGTAAATCAACCCGGATAAAATGAGCAAAATAGTAGCAACAAACAAAAACACACACACACAGAACTAGATAAGATCAATAAAGATTTGTCGGTAATAATGATGATTTGTTTGTTTGTTTGTTTGTAAAATATTATGAGAGAGATTAATGTCGAAAGATTTAAAGATTTAAAATTGATAATTCTCTATATGTGTGACATGTTTGTTTTGATGTAAATAAAGATTATTATCATCATTTTTTTCCCCATCCTATCATCTATGAATTTCTCCCAATTTTCATTCCTGGATATTCGAATTCGAATGTTTCGAATATTCGGACATCGATAGATCGAAAACAATCGATAGTTTTTCCTGTTTGATTTTTATACAAAAAAAACTTACCACCAAATTCTGTTGCTCGATTGATTGGTGATGATGATGGTGATTGTAGTAAACCACCACCATTTGTAATGATTCGATTATTTATTGAATCATTTAAAATTGTTGATGATGTTGCCGACAATGATGTTGTTGATGGTAATGATGATGTTGAAACTGTAGCTGTTGGTGATGTTTTTGTTGATTGTTTTATCGATGATGATGATGATGATGATGATGTTGTTGATCCATCACCACCACCACCACCACCATTTATCACTGATGTTGATGATGGTGATGATGATGAAGCTGTTGTCGATGATTTTCGATTCGATCTGGTAAATGAATTTTTTTCCTGCAAAAAAACAACAAAACGGAAACAATAATTAATATGATTTTTTTCGCCTTTAAAATTCTTTCAAGCAAGAAAATTCAATTTCCTTGCTTCGTTGTGCAAAAATGTTCAATCTAAGATCTCTCTCTTCAAGTTTTTTCCTTTTTTTTTGGCAAGATAAACATCATTTTTTCAGTGTTTTTGTTGCTCAAAACATACAACATTCATTCATTCTCTGATTCATTGATCTGTCATCAACATCATCTCTTCTTGACCATCATCATCATCTTATGTCAATGATCCAAGCAAACTTGATACTTGTTGCTTTGTCGATGATGGCATCAGATTTTTGTTTTTTTTTACAAACTTAATTAGTTCTCGTTTTTCCCCCTCAAAAAAAAATTTTAGTTATCGACAAGAAATTCCAACGATAAAAAAGCAAACTTGATCAAATCAAATTTTGATAATGATTTTTTTTTTACCAAAACGAAGAATTTAAAATTGTGCAACAACAAAAAAAAAATCTAAAGCAATAAAATTGTTTTTTTGGACGACAATTTTCGATAAAAAAATTCTTTTGAAAAACACTGAATTTTATGTGTTCAAGTTCTTGATCATCAACAACACTCTTATCACAACCAACAAAATCCAAGCCCGAAGGGATAGAAAATGTATTTTCCTGGCCAAAAACAAAAACGCCATTCACGTGTCCATGTCGATAATCATACGAAGAATTTATGATTTCAACAACAAAAAAAAATGATCATTAACCACCACCAACCTCCCCCCACTTTCATTACCTTTCGTTTTTTTCAATTTTTCAAAATTGTTGTGAAATAATCATAAAAATTTTAAAGCCTTTTATTTCTATCAATCTTTCTTTTACGTGAAACAAAAAAAAACAGATAAAAATACGAGATTATTCAAGTGTTGTTTGTTTGTTTTTGGTTTTCTGGTTAAAAATCTCCATAAAGCAAACGAAAACAAAAACAAACAAACATAATACCTGCGTACGACATAAACATAACAACAACAACAACATTTGTTGACGAAAGACCATCATCATCATCAGATTAAGAAAATCAAATGAAAAAATATACCTATAGGGTAATGATAATCTTTTTTTTCATAGCTTGAAAAAAACCTGATGAAAATCTTTGAAACAAAAAAAAGGGTAAATATATTTTACGCACATAATTCTGGGTGAGATATAAGATTTTATTTTTGTTTTTATGGCCATATTTTTCATATTGAATTTTTAAAAAAATGAAAAATTCCACTATGAAATGTTGGATCTATTCAATCATCATCATCATACACACACACCAGAAAACCAGAATGATAAACAAACTTTCTATCCTTCTTTTTAGTTTTTTTGAATATGATAAAATATGATATCTGCTGTACAGGGAAATTGATTAATCGATCAATCGATCGATTGATTGATTGGTGTGGTTTATATTTTCATTCTTGGCTAATTGATTAATTTTAATCATAAACAAGGATTGAATTTTTTCATTTAATCATGAGAGAGAGAGAGAGAGAGAGAGAGAGAGAGAGAGAGAGAGAGAGAGTGAAAAAAATGTGATAATAATTTCCGATTGATCGAAACCAATCAATCAATCAATCGATCGATTGATTGATTGATTGAAAAAAAATGCAACTTTCATCAATGATTTGTTTTTTTTACGACGAGAAATTAGTTTAGTCGAAAAAACAAAATTTCTTTTTGGTTGTTTGGATGTTATAAACAACAGCAATATGGCAGAAAAAGAAAAAAAAGAAAACTCAACGAGATAAGATAAGATTTTTGAGTCTAAAATAAATATTTCTTGCCGAAAAAGATATTTTGTTTTGGTTGCTAATCATCAACTAAGTGTGGATTTTTTGGGGATAAACCTTTTGTACGATTTTACTTTGAATCAATGATTTCCGACTTTTTTCGGTTTGGTTTGGAAAAGAATAAAGAATTTCAAGTTTTTAAAGTTTTTAAAGTTAGTTACCTGATCACTTTCAGTGATTAAACTTGATTTAAGATCAGTTAAATCAGCTGATGCACGTTTTTCATCTTCACCTTCAAATTTAAATACTTTAATTTCATCCGAAGATGCTAAATCTTCGGCCGATTGATTACCGACAGGCATTTTTTTCGGTTTTCGGTTTCTTTTTTACTATTTTTTCAAAAGAAAGAGTAAATCGATGAATCGAATGTGAATTCTTTAATGAAATTTGTTTTTCTTTTTACGTTGTGAACACATTTTTTTAAAAAACAACAACAACAAAAACAATCACAAACAAAACAAAACAAAACACTGAGACACTTTGTGTTGACGGAAATGCAAATTTCTTTTTTCGGACTTAAAAAACACAAAAAAACATCTGAAGAAACTAATGAACAAATCTAATTGATTGTCGGCATAATTTTTGTTGAAAATTTTCAACAACCAAAATTTATCAGAGAAAAGAAAATGAAACTTTTCTTCTTCTTTTTCTTTTTGGATTTATTAATATCAAATTAAATCAAATCAAATCAATCAATCAATATCAATATTGATCATCATAAATGCGCATCGTACATCACATCGTACATCAAAATCACATCACATAAACACCGAGAGAACATTTAACCAAAAAATGATGATGATTGATGTTTTTTCTCTTTTTCATTTTCATTTTTATCAATCAAATTTTGATTGATATGATGATGATGATGATGATGATGAAAATTGATTGATTGATTTCATTCGATGATGGATGCACTGGATTCACTTGGATACATTCTTTTTTTGACCCAAAATTTGCAGGAATTTTTTTTTAAATCTATCGGGCCTTGTTAAACAGACGTTTTGAGATTTTTTTTCAAAATTTTTCAATTGAAAACCGCCAAAAAAAAGCCGTGTTTTGAATGAAAAAATCACTTACACTTTGTATAGAGATCTACCGCAAATGTGTGTGTGTGTAAGTATACAGCGGATAACAACACTGAATGAATGCTAAAAGAACTACCCTGTCATCGTGTTTGTCGATTTGGACCCAATGGATCATCAATATCACCACTACTACTGTTATGGAATTGTTAAAAAGCATAGAAGCAATATTGATCAATAACGAGGTCCATTACTATTTTGTCAACTACTACTACTAACAAAAAATTAACCAGCCTTTTTTTATTTCTGATCATAGTTGTTTATGATTGGCTTATCGCTATCACTGTTTAACACTTGTCTTTACAAAAATGCTCCGCCCATTTATATTCTTCTTCAAAAGAACATATTTTATGGCTGTTGCTGTGTTCTGCATTCCGTATTTTTATCTTTACGCAGTAATAGTCACAATAGATTTTTTTTATCTTTTTCTCACGTTATTTTATGGAATTCAAGTTTTAAGATTCTCATTATCTCTATATTGTGACTATAACCTTGTTTTTTTAATGATTTTTTTAAATTCTTAGTTTACGCGCGCTTGCGCTCAAACAAACCCTGAGATTTTTTTTTTATCTTAAAAAATCTCCAAATCAGAAAATAAAACTTAAAAGATAAGAAATCGAGAAGTTTTTTTGTTGGTTGGTTGGTTGGTAATTCAATACACACAAACATATAAGTCTGGTATTTTTTTTCTTGTTGTTGTTGTTGCTTACATATTACCATCGTGATCGTGGTTGTTGTTGTTGATTGTCGTTATCGTTGGTTGAAAGTGAACTTTGCACCTTTGATCTTCGATGTCGATGATGTTTGATGATGATGATGANTTGTTGTTGTTGTTGTAGTTTGGTTTTTCCAGTTTAATTAAAAAACATGTCTTCTGAAATTTACATACTAATCAGTTAAATAATAAAAAAATTTGGAGTAAAAGTATTACAATTTACATCGGTCATAAAATCAATTATTGAATTGTGTTGATTTCATTTTCTTTGAGAAATCAAAAAAAAAACAAACGTAAAAATAGATTTATTTTGAACAATCAAAAAGAAATTTATGACAATGTTTTTTTTTATTGTTATCATCAACCTAACCTAACCTAACCTGAGAAATCAGTCATAATAATCATAGTCAGCAACCTAACCTAACTGAACCATCAATTCACAGCTTAATATTGCCAACTGCAAATTACATATCGCCATCTGTTGAGCAAGAATCGAACTAAAAATGATTTCAAATCTACAGGTAAAATAATCGATTATTTATATCGCGATAGTATCGGACAGAAAGAATTTTTTATTCTTTTTTTTTATTGTCTCTCTTTCTCGCACACACACGAGGATTATTTGGATGATATTCCAAGAGAAACCATTTTGAAAAAAAAAACAATAAAAGAAAAACGTCGTTACTCAAAATTTATTTAAATTGCGTCATTAAAAAATTTTTCGTTGTCATTATTTGTAAACAAGAAAAATGGAACTTAATAATCAAAAAACTGATGCTCCCAACAATCTTAATAATAATAACAATAATAACAACAATAATTCAACATCAACGAATGAATTTGATTCTGGATTCTTTCTTAATCTGTGAGTAATTTTTGTTTTGAAAAAAATCAAACGAAAACAAAAAAAAATTAATTATCCAAAGTGATCCAAAAAAACTTTCATTTTTTTCTTTCAATGAAAAAAGCTGTAATATAAGTAAAATTGAAGAAAACAAATTACAACCTAAACAAAGCATACAGATCTCAACCAAACGTGATGATCTTTATTATAATATGGAAAATAAATATAATGGACGTTGTATTATTTTAAATTATGAAACATTTGATTCGGAAGAGCTTAGCCGTCGTCGTGGTACTGAACAGGATGTTAAAAAATTATCACAAACATTTAGACAGCTTAATTTTAATGTTGAAATGTTCAATGATCTCACTCATCATAAAACATTTGAAATATTTAAACGAGGTATTTTAATTGAAATTCAATGAAAATTTTTTATTAAAATTGTTTTTTTCCACATGCACAGAATCAATGATGGATCATACTAATTATAATTGTTTTGTCGTTTGTATATTGACCCATGGATCGAATGGAAGTATGAAATTGATGTTTCTTTTTTTGTTTCGAAAAGAAAAACTTAAATTTTTTTTCTCTCTTTTTTTTCTTAGTTTTACATACAAAAGATAAAAAATTCGATACAAATAAAATGTTTGAATTTTTTACTGGCACACATTGTCCAACATTGGTTGGTAAACCGAAATTATTTTTCATACAAGCATGTCAAGGTGAAATGTTTGATTCAGGTGTATTGGTTCATGATTCACCATTATCATCACCGAATTATTTTATGGTACCAAATTATGCAGATTTTCTTATATTTTACAGTACATTTCCTGGACATTATTCATGGCGTAATGTTGAACATGGTTCATGGTTTATTCAAACATTATGTGATGTACTTGATGAATTTTCACAAAAATTTGATCTTATGACATTGTTAACGATTGTTTGTCAAAAAGTTGCCATTAATTATCAATCAAAAGTGCCGAATAATTATTCAATGGATCGTAAAAAACAGATGCCTTGTATTATGTCAACGTTGACACGTTTGATTGCATTTTGAGCGTTTGAAATTCAATTTGCATTCTTCTTCTGACTAAACCTTTTTCCTTCCTTTTTCAAGCATAATGATAGATTTTTTTTTTCTTTCGAAAACCAAAATCAATTTATCTAAATTCTATTTACCTCTGTTCTGTTTCCTACCGATTTTCATAATAATTAATTAGCAAATTATTCCAAAGAATTTTTTCATCAATTTCGATTTTTTCAATAATAATTATTTTTTTTTTGTTTGCTCAATTTTTTTGTTTGTGTTCCTTGAAAATGAATAAAAATGGATGTTCAAAAAATTATTGTTCTTGTTTTCTTTTTGGATTGGATGTTGATAGATATCCAGGTGATGTTTGTTTGTTGCCCGGGTTCATCTAAAAAAAAATGAAAACTGTTATTTATACAACATTACCTTGTTGACTAATCATTTGTTTACTATCTTAGTGCACATGTGCACCAAAAAAAGAAGAAAAAACAAAATTCAAATATAATCATATATACCTGGGATAGAAAACATATAGAGATTTTGATGAAAAATTGCGCACCTGTGCCAATGATGATGAATCCATGAGGCCAAAGAGAAAGAGAAAACAAATTCTCACTTGGTGTCCAAAAATTTTGTTGTTTTCTCTTCATCAAATATTTTCCATCATCATCATCATCGTTCATTACATACATCACTTAGTACCAGGTGAATGGTGTTTAAATCCATGACCAAACAACAACAATAACGAAAACAGCATTATGTTTTGGTAAACATCAACAAGATTATGATGTCAAACATATGATGTCAAACATATTATGATGATGATAATGATAATAATGACCATAAAGAGATAATTTGTTCATAAGATCAAGTTGTAAGAAATTTCGAATGGATTTAAATTCATTCGAAAAGCGCGCGAACACATTCATGTGTGTGTTTGGGTGGATCGTTATCGCTTATTTGAAGAAAAAAAAAAGAAATTTTCCAATGAAAATCAGAATTTGTCGAAATTCTCTCTCTCAATGTTTCCAACCAAACGAAAAGAGAAAAAAGAGAAAAACATCTGTGTTGAATCACAAATCTTCTTATAACCGATTGATTTGGAAGAGAAATCTTCATCTTTTTGTTTTCTGGCTTATTGAATGGAATAAATCACTGAATTATTGAATTAAGTCAAAAAAAAAACGATTTATATATGTGATTGGAACGAACATCTTTTGATCATTAAAAAAAAGACAAACGAACAAATCTCTTTGAAATTCTTAATCTTCATGATGGAATATCTGCCTTTTCTTATCTTGTCCTGGGTGTGGATAGTTAATTCTTTTTTTTTTTTGCTCATTAATTCAGGTGGTGGTTGTGGTGGTGAAACCAAACTTGAACAAAGTTGAAAGAAGACAAAAAAATTACAAATTAAAACAGAAAAAAAAGTGAACGAATCTTGAGATTATTATTTAGTTTTTTTTCGTCTTTATAATGCTTTTTATTGACGAATTTCTTACCTAAATACACACATGGTGGTTAAACGGATCAACCAACCACCGGTGTGTGTCATAATTTTTGATCCCGGTCGGTGGTTGATTTTTTCTTTTTCTACCTGCTAATAATAAGACAAATAAATAAAAAAAAAAGAAGAACAGCAATAATGATTTGACCCATGACACCTGCTCGAAAAACTAATTTTTTTTTTCAGTTTTGGTTACTTACATATTTCAGTTCAATTCAAATTCTTAGTCTCTCTCACGTGCATTCAAAAAAAAATTTTTGTTTCTTCAGATGGCTTTATTTCTGTTATTTACCTGAATCAAGAATTTTTACCTTATTTAGTGAATTCATTCAGGTAGTGATCACATAGTGAAAGGTGAATGTAAAAAAAAATTTCTTGAGGTTTAAAATGATTGACTTTTTCTTAAATAATTTGGCATTCGTTTGATAAACCTTGTACATGTTGGATCGATGATATGAAAATTGCGTGTGCGCGCAACAAACAACAAACCATTTAAAACTTTGAATTTGATTGATAAAAATTTTGATTTTTTTTTTCTTCGCCAAAAATTCTTTATTCTTCGATCAATCGATTTTGATTGTGCATCGGATGTTTTTTTCTTTTTCTCTTGAAAATGAAACAAATTTTCAGAATATTCATCATTATTTTGTTAATAGAATCAACATTGATTCTTGTAGAATGTCGTCGAATTCGTCTTGGTCGTATGGTTTGTATTTTTTTTTTTAAATTTTTTGATGATAATTTACTCAATTTCGACCAAGAAGAATATTTTAATTAATCATTCGATTCTATTTCTACCTGAATTGAAAACAGAGACCCGGATTAATTTCAATGAATCGTCATATGTCGACTATATTTACACATCAAGAACCAACAGTAAAATCGAATGATAATTCAACATTGAACGATACGAAAAATTCAACATCAATCTATAGTGAATGGTCAAGTTGGTCAAGATGTCGTAAACGTTGTAAACAGATTCGTACAAGAATCTGTATTCAATCGGATCAATGTCAATCAAATATTCAAAAAGAAGAACGTAACTGTACAGGTGATCGTTGTCGATCAAATTCATCATTACCTGCTCATCATCATCAACATAATCATCACCATAATCACCATCATCATAATCATAATCATCAACAATCAATACAACCAAATAATAATGGACGTGGTCGTAGTACTGAATTCAAAGTACTTTATCATTTACAAAGTTATGTTTATTCACAATGGTCAAAATGGTCACCATGTACTGAACATTGTCAAACAAGACGTTATCGTACATGTGAAATGAAAGAAATTTGTGGTAATAGTACAATACATGAAGATGCTATTTGTGCAAAAAAAGGTAGTAATTGTGAAAAATATTTTAAATCCAAAGAAGAAGAACAACAAGTACAAGGACAACAATATGATCTGGATGGATCATCATCATCGACAAATACAAATTCACAATATAGACAATCAATAAATGAAAGTCGTTGGATTAATGATGAAACTTGTGGTCATTCATCAATACGTAATGATCTAGCAAGTATGTTACGTATAATTGGTGGTCGTGAAGCAAATAAAGGTAAATGGCCATGGATTGTTGCCATTTTAAATCGTAATCATGAAGCATTTTGTGGTGGTACATTAATTACATCACAATTTGTTATAACAGCAGCACATTGTGTAAGACGTCGTCTTTATATTCGTGCTGGTGAACATGATCTAATGATACCGGAAGGTTCTGAACAACAAGAACAAGTATCATCATTATTTGTACATCCAGAATATGATCCAGATACAGTTGATAATGATATTGCTCTATTAAAACTTCGTCGTCCATTGCAAATGAATCGTTTTGTATCACCAATTTGTCTGCCAACCGATCAAGATATTCTACCAACAAATAGTCTTGGTACAATACTTGGTTGGGGTAAAAGAAAAAATTCAGCAATGTTTGGTAGTGATGTATTACATCAAGCACAAGTACCAATAGCTGATAATGATGATTGTCGTAATGTTTATAAAGATAAATATATGATATCCGATAATATGGTTTGTGCTGGTTATAAAAAAGGTAAAATTGATAGCTGTGCTGGTGATAGTGGTGGTCCATTATTGTTTAGTAAAAAATCATCAACAACCGCAACAACAATGGATACAAAATGGTTTCTATATGGAATAACAAGTTTTGGTGAAGGATGTGGTAAAAAAAATAAATATGGTATTTATGCAAAAGTACCGAATGTTGTACAATGGGTACGTAAAACTATTATGGAAAATTTGGATTAAAACATCATCAACGCGACATTATTATTATGAAAATAAAACCCTGTGATAAAAAACAATTGTCATTTTGCCACCCAATATAATCATCATCATTCAACATCCACATCCACACACAATTTTTGTTTTTACTTTTACTTTGTACTTTTTTTACCTGCTGCATAATTTTTAATTTTTGTAAAATAAAGTTTTAATAATTTATTTCCATGATTTTTTTGGGGGTTTTCTCTTTGAAATAACGAAAAAAAAAGCAATTAAGAAAAATGAAAAAATGACCAGTGGTTGACCACTTAGTGTGTGTGGGTGACATATATGTTTTCAACACACACACAGCGGTAGTTGACAAACAAATTTGTCAACAAACAATGTTTATCGAATAGAGAAAGAAGAAAAATTCATTAGCCAAAACTGACCATAAGATTTTAAAGAATTTTTTTACTTTTCTCGACCAAATATTTACCCTGTATAAACAAGAACAACATCAATAAATTCGTTAATAAGCAAAATGTTTATTGGATAATCAGCGTGTGGTGTTGTTGTTGTTGTTGTTGGTTGGTTGATTATCAACAACAGAATAACACCCGGCGAAACAATCCTTTGACACCTGTGCAAATATTATTATTATTTAGTTGAAAATTTACAGAATTATTTAACACATTAGTTACCTGTACAGTGTGTGTGTGTGCAGAATTAGATTGCATATTACCTGTGTGTGTGTGTGTTATGGTCCTTGACCGCTTTCTTGTGTGAAAGAATGTGTGTGTTTAGAAATTGAATTTTTTTCGTTAAAAAATTTTATTTTGGTAGACTGCTTGTCGCCAATCATCATCTGTGTGTGTTAGATAAACCTAGATTTTTTCTGCACATTGCCTCGAGCATTTAGAAAAAAAAACATTGTAGCAATGCAATAGGTCGGTTCGGTGTGTGTGAAGAAGAAGAATACCAAAAACCCATATGGCCAATCATAAAAATTGATTTTCGTTTACTTCCCCCTCATCACCACCAAACACCTTTTTTTCCATTGAAAAAAAACCAGATACGACTATAGATGGTATTTTTATTTGGTTTTTTGTTTTTTCGACCAAATGATAATGATGATGATTTTTTACGTTGAACATCGAAACACTGCACAGCATAGTTTAAAATGAAATAATAATATCGCATAATTTTTACAATGATGATTGGACAGAAATAATCATCATGATGATGAACAAACCGACATTACAAATCACGTTTCTTTTCTTTTTTTCTGATTATCTTTATGGAGAAAATGCATGTACACATCACCCGAACATATATACACACACACACCCCCTCCTGACATCAGACACGCATTGAATAAATATGAAATGAGGGTAAAAGAATGATCGAATAGATCGAATCATTTTTTTTTTTTTTTTTTTATTACGAATGCCAAGGAAAAAAAATTCAAGTCAATTTTCGATGTCATCATCGTCGTTTTATAACGTTTGCTTCTTCAACGATTTGAAATTTCTTCAAAAACAACGATTTTTTTTTGACTTATAAAAATATTCTTCAACAACAGCAAAATTATGAACCAGAAAACAAAAACAAAACTTTTTTTGTTCGGAATACCAGAATGGAATGGATCAGCAAAAAATTTGTCGAAAAACAAAACAACAAAGTTAAAACAAAATAAACCATGATCATTACAATCATCAATGATAATCATGTTCTAATTTTTTAATGCTTTTTGATTTTTTCAAATGTCCATTATCATTATTATCATTATTATTCATGTTTTTTTCACTAATTTCAATTTGATTATCATCATTACAATGGCAATTAATTATTCTCAATATTTTATTATTCGATTTTTGTTTTTCATTTGTCTATTCACATTATTTAATGTTAATTTACAACAACAACAACAACAACGTTATTATCGACCAACAAAGTGGCCATTATCATTAATATCATCATCATCATTATCATGATAATAATTGATATTAGGTCGATGATTGGTTATTTTTGTTGATCTAATTACATTCGCTTTACATATTACATTCATAATTCTTGTTAAAAAACTATTTTTTTTTGTTTTGTTTCCGAATGAAAAATGTTTTAGTTTTAGTTTAGTTTTGCTTGTTTAGTTATTGAATCGTGAGAATCGAGATCAAGTAATCGATTAAATCGATATTTATCTTTTGAAAAAATCCTTGATTATTTCCTTGTTTTTTGATTATTTAAAAAAAATCAATGAAAATGGTCAAGTACAACAATAACAACAACAACAACAACAACAATGATGATTATGTTGATCATCATTATCATTTTCAATATCAACAAAATCCAAATCAAACCCAAACAACAACAACAACGAATACATCGGAAGATTACGCTAAAGAGAATCTATCGAAACGTGTTCGTAAACGTTTATCATCATCATCAAAATTATTTAGTGCTTGTTTTCATTTTCCAAATCGTCGTCGTCGTCGTAGTCTATCAACAGTAAGTTTCTTTTATCCATCCATTTTTGATTGACATAATTGTCATATGTTGTTTTGTCTGTTTTCTAACTCTCTTCAATGCTATTGATAATCATAAGATTTTTCTTACAAACAATCAAAAATCGCAATTAAACACCTCCACACTCCGTAAACATGTGTTGTTTTCAATGTAATTTTTTTGAAATAAACACACAACAAAGATCATTGATCGTTTCAATTTAATTTTTGGTATCAATGAAAGATCATTGACCATCGTTATTACTTAATGATGATGATGTTTTGATTTTTTGTTGGTCACGAAATATTATCAAAAAACAAAAAAAAAATCACGAAATTGTCACGAATTGTTTACGGATGTTAATGTTTTTTTTTTTTGAAAAAGAAAATTTCTCGCATTCTCATTCGATAGATGGCGGTACGGGGTCTATTTCCCTAAATTTTTTTCAAAATTTTAATTTTTCTGAATGCGGAATATCAAAGTCAATCATTTGACAGACAGTATGGTGACTATTTTGACAGGACCGGAAAAAAAGGTCATCCAAAATGAATGACATGACCTTTTTTTTGGTTGTTTATTAGATCAAAGACCGTTCAACCAAACAGAAAAAAAACCCTGACAGCAACAAATGAATTAAATCAATTTCAATCGATCAAGAATGTGGAGATCAGAATGACGAAAACAGGCTCATCACAATCAAATAAATACAGCTGGCTGGTTGACTGGATTCTTTCTTTTTCTTTGGTCGATGCTTGTCGCGCTAGCTAACCAGGAAAACCTAAAAAAAACTTGCTGCCATTCGCTCGCATACAACTGGATTTTTTTCTTTTGTGGATATCGCTTGATGGTTTATATCATCAACAGAAAACATCGCCAAAATTATTTTATTGAATGAAGGTTTCTATAGATGTTTCTCTCTCTCTCTCTTTTTATATCTGGATTTTTCTTTTTTGGGTGAGGCACAGTATAGTGTGTATGTAGTCTGCTGCTTGGTATGGTTGGTGCGTTTACCACATTTGATGATGATGATGTTTTGGTTGATTGATGGATTGATTATGTTTTTTTTTTTTTGGGTATCCTTCTTTCTTCACTGCATAGAAACAAGGGAATTTTTCTGAGAAGAAAAAACAGTTAAAAGTGCTCTATATATTCAATGTTGTTTTTTTGGGAAGATTTCCAAAGACGTAAAATATGTAATCAACAAAAAAAATTGTTATCGAAACTTTATCAAAACTTCAAATTCACTGCCATTCTGTTGTTGTTTCGTGTGTGCGTAGGTGTCTTGATCGTCAATCGTTTATCGTCGATCATCATCATCTTCATTTCATTTTTGATCTTATCGATCGACCGATGTTTGTTTGTTTGTTTGTTTGGTTGGTTAAATGAATGAAACAAACAAACAAAAAACTCGATCAAAACAAAACTAACCGGTTATTTTAACAAACAAATTGATTCGGAACATCAAAGAGAGAGAGAGAGAGAAAAGAATTTCATTTTGATTTTTGTTTTTCTTCTTTTCAATTGCTCAGTGTGTGTTATTCGTTGCATCGTTGAATTTTTTTTCTTCAAATGTTTATTTTATTTCATTCGATTTTCGTTTTGTTTAACATGTCATCGAATCGAAATAAAACATAGCAACAAGTTTTGAATTCTGTTCTTTTTTTTTGTAAAAATTAATGATTTTCGTTTGTTTTTGTGTTGAAAGAAAAAAAAATCAATCGAATGTTTATTTTGATTTCTTGTTCTTCATCGAAAAAAAAAATTCTTAAATCATTCTTTCATCAAGAATTTTCCACCCTTGTCAAGAATTCAATCTAAATATACACACACGCAAAACCTGTCAAACTCAAATTATTCAGATTTTTTTTCTTCTTTCTTCGTCACTCAAAATATGATTTTTGTTGTTGATGACATTGTTGTTGTTTCGATTTCATGAAAACACGAACACACACACCCATTATAAATTTATATTTTTCATGTTCCAAATTTGATCCATTTTTTTGTATCATCGAGGTTACCTGAAGATCAATTGCGTGATAATAAGAAAGAAAAAAAAACGAAAAACAGAATCAGTGAAATACAAACCTGAATAACAACAACAACAACAAAAAATCGAACGCTAAGAATATTCTGGTGGTGTGTGTGTGTGTGTGTGTTCCAAATACCACTACTACCGAATATTGGGTACTATTACCACTACTACTTACATCATCATTGAAGTGATGAGTTAATACCTTGAATTTTTTTATTATTCGGTTGTTTTGTTCGGGTGGCCAGAAACGAAACGAAAAAACCGAAAACGAAAAATCCGACGACCCCGACGATCAAACATTGCGGATAAATTGTTTGTGTTTCCAATGCAAAGTGTGTGTGTGTCCAACAAAAAAAAAACTAAATATATAGCCACGTCCTGCAACATAGATACCCGAAGAAAAAAAGGAGAAACGAAAATATTCTGGATCAGTCTAAAAACCGAACAAAATTATATAGAATTCGATTCCAATGATGACGTCATGCTAATCATCAATTCTATTCGGTGAATATCGTTGTGAATAAAATTCTCGAAACACAACCAAAACCCAAATTATCATCACTTCATTCAAAGTTTTTTTTTCTGGTTGTCATTTATCAATTTTGAATGCGGATATTTTTTCTGCTTCTTCGTCTTTGTCTTTTTCACATTGATCATTTTTTTTTTCTCAATGATATTCATTCATGAGTTTGAAACGATAAAGATAGCTAAAAGATAATCATTTTTGTTTGTTTGATACTGCATATTTTATTCATATTTGTTATCCGTTATCATTTGTTGTTGTAGTAGTGTTTTCTTGTTTTTTTTCTTCTTTGCTCGACACCGATTTCATGTCAAATTTTATCCGAAATTTTTGATTTTCTTCCATCAACTATCATCATTATCTTCATCATTCGTATCAAACATATTTTGGTTGTTTGGGAAAAGTGTTTTCATTCAACCATTATTGATTTCATTTGATTTTTTTTTTTTAAATTCTCATTCTTTTTGGCTGCTGAGAGAGAAAAACTTTTCAATGAAAATATTTTCCTGAAAATATTCATTAGAATAGAATATTCTGTTGTTTTTTTTGTTGTTATTTATTTTTCCTACTTTTTTCTCTATCGTCATTGTTATTTGTGAAATTTTAATTTGAAAAATGGTTACCGAAACTCAAATTCAACAACAACCACAACAACCATCATCAACAACACAATCTGCCAATGATGTACATCATGTTCATCATCATCAGGTAATTCTGCACTAAAATGATAATGGAAAAATAATACAAATTTTTTTTTATTAAAAATTTCAAAATAGACGGATGGTGTTGCTAGTTTTTTACGTGCAGCACGTGCTGGAAATTTAGAAAAAGTTCTTGAATATTTAAAAGGAAGTTTTGATATTAATACCTGTAATGCAAATGGTTTGAATGCATTACATTTAGCATCAAAAGAAGGACATGTACCTGTTGTTACCGAATTGATTCGTCGTGGTGCAAATGTCAATACAGCAACTAAGGTTTGATGAGAAAACAAAAATAATAATTAAAATTTTTCATTTATTTATCGATATTTTGATTGATTAGAAAGGAAACACAGCTCTACATATAGCATCTTTAGCTGGTCAAGAAGAAGTGGTCAAAGTTCTTATACAAAATGGTGCAAATGTTAATGTGCAATCTGTTAATGGTTTTACACCATTATATATGGCTGCACAAGAAAATCATGATGGTGTTGTTAAATATTTATTAGCTAATGGTGCTAATCAAAGTTTAGCTACCGAAGATGGTTTTACACCATTAGCTGTTGCATTACAACAAGGTCATGATCGTGTTGTTGCTGTTTTATTGGAAAATGATACAAAAGGAAAAGTACGTTTACCGGCATTACATGTTGCGGCAAAAAAAGATGATTGTAAAGCGGCAACATTATTATTACAAAATGATCATTATCCGGATGTAACATCGAAATCAGGATTCACACCGCTTCATATTGCTTCACATTATGGTAATGAAAATATTGCCGCATTATTATTGGAAAAAAATGCCGATGTTAATTTTGCTGCTAAACATCAAATCACACCATTACATGTTGCCGCTAAATGGGGCAAAGTAAATATGGTATCATTATTGTTGGATTATAAAGCAAAAATTGATTCAGCAACACAAGATGGTTTAACACCGCTTCATTGTGCAGCACGTAGTGGACATAAATCAGTTGTTCAATTATTAATTGAACGTGGTGCACCAATTTCACCGAAAACAAAGGTAAAATATGAAAAGCTTTTGGAAAATTAATCTTTAATCTTTGATCATCTAAATAGAATGGTTTGGCACCTTTACATATGGCTGCACAAGGTGATCATGTTGATTGTGCAAAAGTTTTACTTGATTATAAAGCACCGGTTGATGATGTTACTGTTGATTATCTAACACCATTACATGTTGCATCACATTGTGGACATGTTCGTGTTGCTAAATTATTATTGGATAAAAAAGCCGATCCAAATGCTCGTGCTTTGAACGGTTTTACACCGTTACATATTGCATGTAAAAAGAATCGTATTAAAGTTGTTGAATTATTACTCAAACATGGTGCATCTATTGAAGCAACTACAGAGGTTAGTGTATATTAAAATCAACAAAATTTAATAATTAATTAATCTTTTTTTTTGTTTTGTTTTGTTTAATCATCTTTTTGTTAACCAAACAAACAGTCTGGTTTGACACCACTTCATGTTGCATCGTTTATGGGCTGTATGAATATTGTCATCTATTTAATACAACATATGGCCAATCCAGATGTACAAACAATTCGTGGTGAAACACCATTACATTTGGCTGCTCGTGCTAATCAAACAGATATTATACGTGTTTTGTTACGTAATGGTGCACAAGTTGATGCTAAAGCACGGGTATGTGTTTACATTTTTTAGATATTCAAATCAAATCAGGATTATAATAATTAATTTTTTTTTCTATAATAGGAAAATCAAACACCACTTCATATTGCAGCACGATTAGGAAATTCGGATATTGTTTCATTATTATTACAGCATGGAGCATCTATAGATGCTATCACTAAAGATCAGTAAGTTTATCGAATAATCAATTTTTATGTTTTTCTAATCTAATATCAATCGATATTCCAAAAAGATATACTGCACTTCATATTGCTACGAAAGAAGGACATGAAGAAACAGCATCTATATTGATTGATAATGGAGCTTCATTGACCGCTCAAACAAAGGTTTGTTTCAATAATAATAATTATCAATTTCATGGTCTCATTTCATTTTTTTAATTTCATTATCATTATACAGAAAGGGTTTACTCCATTACATTTGGCAGCTAAATATGGAAATATTAAAGTAGCTCGTTTATTGATTAGTCGTAATGCACCGGTCGATGCCCAAGGAAAGGTTTGTAAACACTTTTTTTTAAAAAAATTGTAATTAATAATAATAATTATTGACCATTTTATTTAATGAATAAATAGAATAATGTAACACCATTACATTGTGCCGCCCATTATGATCATGTAAACATTGCATTATTATTATTGGAAGAAAAAGCATCACCACATGCAACAGCTAAAAATGGCTATACACCATTACATATTGCTGCACGTAAAAATCAAATTGATATAGCTACAACATTGTTAGAATATGCAGCCAATCCAAATGCTGAATCAAAAGTATTAAAAAAATTATTATTATTTTGATTGTTATAGAATTTTCGATATTTATAATATTTTCAAATTTAAAAATCAAAATTAGGCTGGTTTCATACCATTACATTTGGCTGCCCAAGAAGGTCATTCAGATATGGTTGCATTATTATTACATAATCGAGCCAATGTTAATGCCAAATCAAAGAATGGTTTAACATCGATGCATCTTTGTGCACAAAATGATCGTGTTAATGTTGCATCAATATTGGCTAAAAATAATGCCGATATATCGTCACAGACCAAAGAAGGTTATACACCATTACATGCAGCTGCACATTTTGGTCAAATGAATATGGTTCGATTTTTGCTTAAAAATGGTGCCAATGTTGATACGACCAATTGTGTAAGTTAAAAAATTATTTTCCTATTCAATTTTTTTTAAATTACTGATTCAAATTCTTAAATAGCATGGCTATACACCACTTCATCAAGCAGCTCAACAAGGTCATGTTCAAATAGTCAATTTACTATTAGAACATAAAGCATCACCTAATGTTATTACAAATCAAGGACAAACAGCATTATCTATTGCACAAAAATTGGGCTATATTTCTGTTGTTGAAACATTAAAAGTTGTTACGGAAACAATTGTTACAACAACAACAACCACTATAACTGAAGAAAAATATAAAGTTGTATCACCCGAAATAATGCACGAATCATTTATGAGCGATTCAGAAGATGAAGGAGGTTAGTATAATGAATTATACAAATTATTCATTTAATGATGATGGAAAAAAAAATCCAATTTCCTGACTAATTTCCTTTTGTTTTTTATATATCTATTATTATAAAATATTAATCAATCAATCAATCGATTCAATTCGAATGATTTGCCAATCTTTTTTCTTTTTCTCTCTCTATATTTCTTTCTTCATTTCTTTATCTTTATCTTTCCATTCAATCCATACATCCATCATCATCTAATTGGGTATCATCTTTATCCGGTGTTGTTCCACAAAAAAAAACTTTTATTCTTTTCCTTCATTTCACTTTTACTGTTCATCTTTTTTTCTATCTTCAAATTTCGTACGGGCAAACACAAAATACACAAAAAAAACAAAACATTTCGATCAGGAGATGAATATGTAGTCGATACGGCCCAACAAAATGGTGGCCAAACAACAAATCAAAATGGTCATACCGGTAATAATATTGATAAACAACAACAACAACAAAAACAAAAACATCCATCGACTATAAATGAATTAAAATTATCACGGCCACAGACAAAAGTTTTCACCAAATCTAGTAAGTGATACACACACACATCAAACACATTATACGCCCACGCATTCATATCAAGCATGATGATTGATTCTTTTTTTTTGCAAAATTTAATTTTGCTTCGGTTATGTGTTTTGAATTTGGTCATAATCAATCGTTTTTTTTTCAAAAATTCAGGTCACGTGTCTCTCTTTTTTTTATTTATTTTAAAAATTCCTTTTTCTTTCTTTTGATTTTGATTTTTTTGTTCACCTTGAAAACCAAATCATTAATTATTTTATGCTGCTTTTTTATTCTTACAATGTTTCTATTTTTTCTTCAAAGAAATTGCTTTATAATTGATTTTCTACGCAGAAGAAAATCGTTTTTGAATGAAAATTTACATATTTTTTTTTTTCTCAATCCTTTTTCCTTCCTCCCCCCATTTGAAAAAAATTATAGCCGAAGAACTTTTAGTTGACAATCCATATCGTTATCTAACTGGTGATGAAATGAAATTTTTAGGCGATGATTCATTACCAATCGATGTGACCAAAGATGAACGTATGAATGATACATTTGGTAGAGATTCATTAGGTATGTTTATTTGTTGAAATGTTTTTTTTGTTTTTTGTTTGTTTGTTTGTTTTTGTCTGATCATATACCTAACCAACAACAACCAGGTCAGGAAATGATTCACTAACCAATCATACATATAGAGACCAATATATATCACGCAAATAAAGAATGATGATCAAATGTTATGTAAAATAAACCAAATGGATAGATTGAGGAAGATTTTCTTTCTTTCTTTCTATTTGAAAGAAAATCCTAAAAGTATCAACCAAAAACCATTAAAAGAAAAAAAATGAAATAAGCTAATAATATCTTTATGTATGAGATGAGATAAATGGGTTTTCTTTGCCAATATATACTGTCTTTTGTCTTCACATTTTTCTTCCTTTGTTTATTTATTGCAGCAATAGCAAAAAAAAGTAATGACAGCAACAGCAGCCATACCAACAATAATCATCATCATTAAAATAGTGAAAACATAAACACACATAAACACAATATCACCATATAGACATCATTTTTCATTGAATAAGTATATAAAATTTTTCGTGAATAACAACCATAACGAAAATCTCTCCTTTATGCGAAAGAGAATTCATTTTTTTATTTCCTTGAGACGCCAAACAAATTTGAATGACAAGAAATCCAATGTGTTTCTCTCATTCTCTATCTCTCACTAAAAGTTGATTTGCTTTACGCACACACCCATATATTCATTTACAGTTAGTTATCTTGAATTTATGTTTAGAGTGAGAGAAATTAAAGAAGAAAAAAAAGGAAAGAAATATCAATGCTTGCTTTTTTGGTTGTTGATGTTGATGATATTGTTGAAGTATATTTGGAGAAAAGAAAGATCTTTTTAGATACCAACTTGTTGTTGTCATTATCATTGATAGAAACAGTAGATGTTTTTTGTTTTGTTGTTGTTTAGCAAAATAGAAATCGATAATATTTGAATAAGACTTTTTTTCCCCTTGTTTGATGTATGCGATGATGATAATTTTGATTAGTGTTTTATAGATTTTAATCAATCAATCAATCAATCAAAATAATTTTACTTTGCAATCTTTTTCTCATTCATTTGATCATTTTTATTAATTTAGCTCCAATCACAATTGATGAAGAATTAATATCACCACAATATTTTACAATGACTGAAAATTATGTTAATGCATTACCACCGGATAATATTGATTTATCACGTGCACCGGTCAATACTGGGTAAGTTTTTTTTCTTTTGGTTTGTTTTATTCCGTTTAGTTGTTTTCATGAGGAAGAAAAAGCCTTTCGATATCACAAGTGTATTGTGTGTTTTCATTGGGAAAAAACAAAATTCCCCAACAACAATATCAACGACAAGAGAATATAACATCTTTTCGCAAAGTCATTTTCATTGTTACATTCATCAAAAAAAATTCTTTTTCCTCTGATTTTTTTCTGCTATTGTCATCATCATCATCACATCATTATCGACGATGAAATTGTCAATTTTACCATAGTTCATCGCCATTGTTCTTTCATTTTGATTTTCTCATTTCAAATTTCCATTTTAATTTAATGAATTTTTTTCCCATTATTTTTTTTTGGTGATGAAAAAGTACGGATGATATGATGATAATCAATCAACAAAAACAACAACAAGAATTAAATGAACAATTAACAATGATAGTAACAAAATCATCAGTTAAACCATTAGTACCATACAAATGTATGGCACGTTCAAGGTTCGAATTAGAAAAAAATTTTGTGATGATAATAATGATTTTGTGCTTCGAAATTCGGTTATTAATCTGTGAATCTGTGTTGTTATTGTTTTTCTCTGATCAAAAAATAAAAAAAATTCAACAAGCAAAATGGCTTCAATGTTCGCATGTGGATGTTTCACAATCGCTAATGTTTTTTTTTTTAATTCTAATCATCCCCTTTTTTAAGCCTTTCAAAAAACAAAATTACTTGAACAAAAGATTAATAATGATTTTTTTTCAAATTTTATTTTGTTTTCCCCTTTAATTCCTTTATGCTTTTATTTTCGTTTCCCAATCGGATCAAACCAAATCGAAATCCTATTTATCACCATTGCTGCTACTGCTACTGCTATTGAAAAAAATAAAAATAATTAAATATCGCGCCTTTTAATAAAATTTTCAAAAAAAATAGACCATTAAAATGGAGAAAGTGAGTTTTGAAATTGATTTGCTTGCTAAACTTTTTTGTTTTGTTTGAATTTTCCTTTCCAATTCTTATTGAATAACTAATGATTGAATTTTTCTTTTTCTTTTTTTTCATCATCGTTTCGTTTCGAAATCAATCAAACAATTTTAGCTTTTTGGTAAGCTTTATGGTCGATGCTCGTGGTGGTGCAATGCGAGGTTGTCGCCATTCAGGTGTACGTGTTATAATACCACCACGTAAAGCACCAATGCCAATGCGTATTACATGTCGTTATGTAAAACGTGAAAAACTTATCCATCCACCACCATTAATGGAAGGTGAAGCATGTGCATCACGTATACTTGAAATGGGTCCATCCGGTGCAAAATTTTTAGGGTAAATCATTGTGATTTTTGTTTTTTGTATTTTCTCATTAATGATTGACCTGTTTTTTTTTGTTTTGTTGTTTTCACAAAGTCCGGTCATAATTGAAGTGCCACATTTTGCATCATTACGTGGTAAAGAACGAGATATTGTTATATTTCGTAGCGATAATGGTGAAACATGGCGTGAACATACATTGGAAGCAACTGAAGAAGCTGTACTTGAAGTTTTAAATGCTAGTTTTGATGGTGAAAATGGTAGGATTTTATTTTTATTTTGAAAACTTTCGAAATTTTTGAATGTCTTTTTTTTAAATACAAATAATGTTTCCAATTTTTTTTCCACAATTAGATGTGAACGGATTAGACGATTTTCATAATAATCGTATTACACGAATATTAACAACAGATTTTCCACAATATTTTGCAATCATAACACGTATACGACAAGAAGTACATGCAATTGGACCTGAAGGTGGAATACTTAGTTCAACTGTTGTTCCACAAGTGCAAGCAATTTTCCCCGAAGGTGCATTAACCAAAAAAATTAAAGTTGGATTACAGGTAGGCAACAATAATAATGATGATAATGATAATGATAACGAGAATGTCAAGGCCAGAAAAAAATTTGTAAAAAAACGATCATTTTGGAATAATTGGTTTGGTTGTAATTGTAGAAAATCTAACAAACAAATTATTCATAATAACAGTAATAATAATGATGTCAGGGATGAAAAATTAAATTTAAATCAAAATGAAAATGAAATTATTGAAAATATTGCAATGAAAATAATATCATCTAAAAAAGATGATAATTTTGAAGGACAACAACAAAAATATGATAGTATGATGATTAAAAAATCGGATAATGTTCAAAAAGAAAAATCCGAAATCAATAATAATAATAATGTTGATGATAATGATCATTATTTAGCTAAAAGTAAAAAAATTAACGAAACATTTAGCCAGGAAAGTCAAAATAATAATCATCAATCAAAAAGAAAATTATCATCATCCGCATTGATATTAACAAATATAACCACTGTACGTAAAGCATTAGAAAATTCGAAATCTAATCCACCAATCACAAATGAACAACAGAATGATCAACAAAATAATAATAAAAGTGAAAATGATCAACAACAGATTAAACGTGATTCAAAAGTTGAATTATGGGTAGTTATTAATAATAATAATGCTAATAGTAATAAAATGATGAAAGATGATACTACTGTTGATGATGATAATGATTTAGCTAAAGATCAAAATGTTAATGATGATGATAATATCAATGATAATGTTGAAAATCAAGAACAACAACGTCGTAACAATATTCTACATATTGTTAATATTAGACCTGTTAAACATTCATTAATTAATTCGAATGATGATAATGTTTTAAACAATATTACAAATGATGATAAATTAATGATTAATAATTCTAATCATAATGATGCGGAAAAGGATGCTAAAAAGGTTGTTGATGATAAAAAGATAGTTAAAAAACAAACAAAAGAAAGAAAGAGTAAGAAAAATTCAAAGGATAATGATAATAATCGACAAATATTAATCGATAATAGACGATCTACATTACTTTCACGTACATTAAATCGTTTATTTCCACGTGTTTATCTACTTTCACAGACACTTTAATTTAAAAAAAGAAACTTAATAATAGAAAAAGATTCACACACACTCACACCAAACATATCCTTGAATGTTCATTCACAAACTAAAAAACCAATCAACCAATCAATCATTATCGTTATCGTTGTTGTCATACGTATATTTTTCCCTTCTCTCAAAAAAAAAAAATCTTTGATTCTGTATCACAAGAATCAAAGATTATCTCTTATCTAACCTCACTTTTTTTTCCATCCACTCATTATTCTTATTCTATCTCTGTTTTCTGTTGTCTATGTTATTTATTTAATATATCTATGTCTATGTCTGTTTGTTTTTTAAAACTTTAAACTAAAATTCTTTCATGTCTTTGTTACTCCAACCTCACACACACACACTTTAATTAATTACTTGTAATTCTAAAATCATTATTTAAAACACAAATTATGAAATTGTTTCATCCCAAAAAAAAAACGATTCTATCAATGAAAATGAATAAATTTCATTTCCAAAATTCTCTTTTCTTTCTTACTTTAACTCTTTGTTTCTTTTCTGTTTACTTTCAATTTTTCCTCTCGGTCACATTTTTCTCTTGGTCAATATAAAGATAGTGTCAGTGTGGGTGTTTTTAGGGGTTGAATTTTGAGAATTTTCAAATTGCCTTGTCATTCTTGTCGAAAAACAAACTATGGAAATACTTTTTGCTGATCAAAAATTTTTTTTCTTCCCTTATTTTTTTCTTCTTTTTTTTTTATTTTTTTTATCTGTTTTATTTTGAAAAAATTTTGCAAAAAAAAAACCAATTTAAAAACCTTTTAGGCCCAACCTATTCCAAATGAATTGGTTACAAAGCTGTTGGGAAATCGTGTTGCCGTATCACCAATCTGTACTATTGAACCAAGACGACGAAAATTTCATAAACCAATTACATTGACAATACCGTTACCACAGGCGGCCAACAGAGGAATGATTAATCAATATTCGGTTGATACACCCACGTTAAGGCTTCTATGTAGCATTACAGGTCCGTTTTCCAATTGTTTTTTTCCATTTTTTCATTTTATAATTTTTATCTTTTTTTTTCTCCCATTTTTGTTTACGTTTTGTTTGGTTTTTTTTGTTTTGTTTTTATTTGGTTATGGTTAGGAGGATCAGCAAAAGCTCAATGGGAAGATGTGACCGGTTCAACACCATTAACATTTGTTAATTCTTGTGTTTCATTTACAACAACTGTTTCGGCAAGATTTTGGTTGATTGATTGTCGTGAAATTAATAATGCGACAAAATATGCAACCGAATTATATCAGGAATCAGTTAATGTACCATTTATGGCTAAATTTGTTGTTTTTGCTAAACGTTTAGAACAGAATGAAGCACAAGTTCGTGTATTCTGTATGACCGATGATAAAGAGGATAAAACATTAGAACATCAGGAACATTTTACTGAAATTGCAAAAAGTCGTGATGTTGAAGTGTTAGAAAATAAGGCACAATTTTTAGAATTTGCCGGAAATCTAACACCGGTTACAAAATCTGGTGAACAATTATATTTAATATTTAATGCATTTCGTGAAAATCGTTTACCATTTTTGGCACGTGTTAAAGATTTAACACAAGGTCCACCATCCGGTAGAATTGCATTTATGCGTGATAGTAGAAAAATTAAATCTGATCATCCACAACAACCAATCTGTACATTGAATTTAACATTACCGGAAATTATGACCGAAATTCCTGTAAAAAAATCAGAATCTTTTTCAAATGATATTAAAATGGCAACAAAACGAGATAAACGACAAATCGATGGACCAATGACCAATGGTTTTAATAATCATCATGATGAAATTGTACAAGAACCACATTTTGAAACAACAACAACAACAACAATGACAACAACTACAATGATGAATGTTCAACCAGTTGATAATGAACAAAATATTAGTAGTCCATCATCATCGACTAATGCATCAATCAGTATGTCAAGTGATGATCAGAAGAAAAAGAAAAAACAACAGCAGCAGCCGCATCAACAAATTGTTGAACAAACAATTACTGCTACTGAAATTCATAAAGGTATTTACAAAATGAAAAATGGAAAGAAAAGAAAAACTAATTTTATTCATGTTAATAGATGTAGCTGATACAATGACTAAACCTGAAATGGAAACATGGCAATCAATTGAACAGGATACCAGTCAAGTTTCAGTAACCAGTTTACCTGATGATGAAAAATCTGAACAATCATTAACAATTTCCAGTAATGTTAATGATGATAATGAATCAACAATTGTTAAACAAAAAGGTTTATTTTTCTGGAGATTTTCGTTGTAGTTGTCAAATTTCTAACTTTTTTTTTCATTTCGACAAAATATAGAATGGACCGAATTGGATGATAATGATGGTGTTGTTAAACACATTCAACAAACAACAGTCAAATCACAACAACAATCCGGTAATTTTTTTTGACTAAATGAAACTTTGTTCTTTGATTATTAACTGATTTTATTTAACTGAAAAAGTTTCTTTGAGCTAACATTTTTCATTTCCTTTCTTTCTTTCTCTTTGCATGAAAACAAATTCTGTTTTTTCCACTTTTTCTCTGTCGTTACCTTTTTCGGGATTTCTTTTGGGGTACTAATGATTAAAGAACCAGAAAGTCCAAAAAGTGATGTTATCAAAGTGGATGTTCAACAACCACAACAACAACAGGAAAAAATTGAAACAACTGTAAGTCAAAAATCTAAACAATCACAATCAAATACAATCAAAGATGATTTTAAGATGGATATTGTTTCAAAACAACCATCGTTTGAATCATCATCAGTTGTAGAAACAACGATAATTCAAAAACCACAAAAAATTTCCGAAACAATTTCAATTGTTTCATCAAATAATGATAATAGATTAGATGATATAAAACGTGAAGCGATTACAATCACAACGAATGTTGTTGAACGTGCAAAAAATGAATTATCAAAAAAATCCATGATAATGCCTATGGTAAAAAAATTTTCGGAAGAAATATCCGATGAAGATATGGTTGAAAAAGGTGATATTGAAGAAATAAAAGATAAATTATTACATTCAGGTAAGCGATTATCAAAATCACCGGCTACTACACCTACTACCGAAATGATAAAACCAATGATGGATATTGTTAGTGGTCCTGGTTTGATAACGGCGAAAGTGTCAACATCAAAAAGTAGTGGTCTAAGAATATCACCTAGTCGTGAAGAAATTAAAGAAATAATGATGTCATCATCTGAATCATCACAACAATTTTCTGATCAATATCGTACACCAACATCAAGTCGACCACAATCAAGTGAATATGATAATATAGCAATCATACCGGAATCAATGTCAAGATCTGGTAGTCATATTAGTTCAGAATATGTTACATGTCCAACAATGACTAGAGATTCATCATCATTTCATACGATACCAAGTCAAGAATTAACAAGTTCTAGTCAATATTATACACCACAATCAAATTTAAGTTCAAAAACTAGTTCACAATCAATTGAAACAGTTGAAAGTTCATCAAGTAATATTGGTGATTTATCCGAAACAAGTGAAACAATTGTTCATGATGATGATGATGATCATAATGATCATATAATTTCACCAATTGATAATGATGGTAATTATTTTGATGAACATTATCATAAATTAGATCAAATTGATACATCAAATATTGAACCATTTAATTATGATATACCATCATCAATGTTAAAAAATGATATCGATGAACAATCATGGTTAACTAAACCTAGACAATCATCATCATCATCATCATCAGATGTATTGATGCAAACAACAACATTGGATAGAAGTCAACAATATTATGTTGAACCATATGAAAATCCTGAACCAGTATCAATGTCATCATTTTATACACAAAAAACAACAACAACAACAACAACAGCTAGCCAACAACAACAACAACAACCACAATCAATAATTTCATCACAATTAGAATGTATTGATAAAAATTTATATACACATGTTGAAGTTGAAGAAGATATAAGTGAAGGTGATAATTCAGATTCATTACGTAAATATTGTGCTAGTAGTGGTGGTAATAATAATAATTTTCAACCATCATCATATCAAGCATCACCAAAAAATATGACCAATATTATTGGTCATCGTAATATTGGTGGAACTGGAAATACTTTTACCGAAACTGAAACAACGTCTTCAACTTCTTCTTCATTGAAAGAATTTGAAAGACTTGAATCGGAAATGTTTTCATTATCATCATCATCAACATCGAATAAAGATCAACAACAACAATCACAATCGCAACAACAACAACAACAATTACCATCATCATCTACAAGATCATCGGCAATGTTGTTAGATGTTGGTGATGATGATGATGATTTTCAGATGTCTGATTCTAAGCAATTGAATTTAGAATCAATTCAATCGGAAAATATTTTATTCGATGAACAAGAAGATTTTAATCCGGAAAGTTTAAATTCAGAATTAAGTCAGGTTACTTGTATAAAAATTTCAAATAATCATCAACGACAACAACAACAACAACAATCATCATCTGATGGTGGTGGTGGTGGTGGTCCACAACTTATAGATGAATTTGATCCATTAGTTCCATTAGATCATCAACAACAACAACCAGCAACAATGCTTGATAGTATGGATTCAAATCTAAATCCAGTATTAGATTGTGATTTTAGTTCACTTGGTTCTTCATCGATGAGTATGAGTGCTGTTTCAATGGAACGAAATAATAATGATACTGTATTACAATGTGATGATATTAATCTGGAACAACAACAGGAGCAACAACCACATCCAGCATTGATTGCATCAATGTCACAATCAATTGAACAGGCATCAACAGCCAGTGATGATCATGAATTTGTCGGTACGATTTATGAATGATTGATGAAATAATTTTTTGGTTTGGTTTGCCTGATTTATTTATTTATTTTGGTTGCATCCGATTTTGGTTTTGTTTTGTTTTTTTTCAATTTTTTTTTGTTTCGTTTTTAAATTCATTATTTGATTTGATTGATGATGATGATGATAACCCCCGTAAACCATAAAACAAAACAAAACAAAAAAATTCTAATTTTTTCCAATCATAACTATAGAAGATTTTCAAAATGGCAATATTTTAATGATGAATAATGACAATCAAAAACAATCATCGAAAATTACTATGGCCATAACTACAACAACAATCGATCGAATTAATCGTAATGATAATAATGAAATGAAAAATTCTGATTGTTATTGTAAAACGCATAAAAATTTGGAAAATTTAAATCAAAAATAATCAATAATCAATAGATGCTTTCCAAAAAAAATCAATTTCAATAATTTTATTAGATGATTGATATTTTAGAGGTTTGAAAAATCAATGAAAAAATGAAATCTGATTTTTTAATTTTTTCGGTTTGATTTTGCTATTTTCTTCTGTTTGTTTTCAATTTTTTTCATTTGTTTTAATTTGTTTTTCTTTTGCCTGTAAACACTGAAAATACATTTCGCATGTTTTTGTTTGTTTGTTTTTTTTTCAATGAATTTTAATTTGATTTTTTTCGGTTTTTTTAATTTCTTTCATTTTAGGAAGCTATAGTGCCGATGGAGAAGAAATTAGACCCACAGATTCAAGAATAATGATGACCGAAACAACAACAACAACAATGATGACCGATGATGATGATGGTTTAATTCAAATTGAGCACAAACATCAACAACAACGACGAAAATCATCATCATCATCAACATCTTCATCATCAACATCATCAACGTCATCATCATCATCGAATAGCGATAAAGATCGAAAACAACGTAAACAAAAACGATAATTTTAAATTCAATTCAATCAATCAAAACCCGACCCGAATGAATACCGTTCGCAATCATAATGAATAGTCATACACAACAACAAAATATTCAAATATTTATTAAAACGAAACAAAAAAAACAAAAAAAAACTTTACATTAACTTCAGATTTTTCACTTTTCAAAATTTTATTCCTGATTCATAACACACACATTACACACACACACACATAGGCAATTGCACAAGAATTTTTTTCTCTTCTCTTTCTCTTTTTGGTTTGTATCTTGCCCAGACATGCAATGATCGACCATTTTCTTTTCTCTCCACATTGCTGCCCGGTTTATGAATCCTAAAAAACAAGATTTTACGTTTTTCACAATCTCTCTCCATATGAAATTGATTCAAAAAAAAAATACTTATTGCGAGAGAAACAGAAAATGAAATGATACAATTTTCAAACAAACAAAAATATGAAATTTTAAATAAATAAATTTTTTTGAAAAATTTAAAACTTTTTCTTCTTCCTGAATTTTCCTGAAGTTTTTCTTATGCCATTTGTTATTGATTTGTTGCGAACAGAAAAAAAACTTTGCTTTTTCGTTTTCTTTTTTGCCTATGACAAATGAAATGAATCGAACCAGAAACAGAAAAAACATGATGATAATATCTGTGTTTGTGAAAGAAAAAAATTTTTGGTAATAATATGGTGATATGATGAACGAAATTGTCGAACGAAACAACAGGAAAGAAAAAATATATTACAAACATTTCGACATTACCCGAAAATTTGTTGTTCACAATTTGGTTTTGTCCCAATGTTTTATTTTTTTTTTTGGGTTTTTTTTCTCTCGGTAACGAAGAACAAATGGCCCATTACAACAACCGCGCCAACACATTATATTCGAATTTCATCTTCTTCTTCAGTGGCCAAAAAACTAGCAGTAAATATCCGATATATACACCAGATCTACCCAATGTTAGTGTTGAAATTTGTTTGGATCCAATTGTTTGTCTGTGTGTGCGTGTGTATGTTTGGATATTCATTCAGCAAACAAAAATTTGAATCCAAACACATATCATTTCAATTCATTCACTTCTTTAAAGATCCTCGGGGCGGGCTTGTCGATTTTTGATTCATTCAAGTTGGGCCCATAATAGATAAAATTATTTTTTGAATGTTTTGTTATCATTGAATTTTATTATAACCAAAAATAAATTTTTTCTCGGTTCATCCTTCAATCGCGTGTTCAGTTCAGTCTGCTGTGAATGTTTTTTTTGAAAAAGTTTTGGATCGAATCATTTTGTGTATGTGTGTTGTCATGTGTGTTTTGAAGTGTGTTCTGTTCGAAACAGAATTAAAGTTTTATTTTTCCCTTGGTTACATTCAGTTGTTTGGAATGAATAACATCGAATGATTTTTGTTGAAATTTGTTGTCATCACTGCCATTGTCATTTTATTTTTCAATTTTGACTTTACTTGGTGGTGGGTAAAGTGTAAATGAACTAGCGCGCGTGTTTCCATTTTGTTTTTGTTTGGTTTAAATTGTCAAAGCATTATTATGTTGTGAGATTTTTAAATTTATAGAAAAAAAAAGTCAAAATTTCCATTATCAAGATGACTATTTCGACAGATTCATCATCCTCCTCACAAATTATATTATTAGAAGGTCCGATTAAATATCGTGATCAGAAAAAGGTTAGTTTTGTATTGAAAATTTTTTTTCCCTTGTTTCTAATCTAACCCGTGAAAAAAAACTTATTCATTTCATCAACAACAACAACAATACAGTGGAAATCACGTTGGGCAATCATCAGTAAATTATCACCAATTGCAGGTAAGCTATCCAATTCAATTTATCAACAACAACAACAACAAAATGTATTCAATTTGAATATTCCAATATCAAATTTCATCATTGCAAATTCATTCATTTGTATGTTTTTAACTATTTTTTACTAATTAATGTCGACATTATCATTGAATAATAATTATTATTTATTAATATTCATAAATTATAAATTCGACAACAAAAAAAAAATGAAAATGAAGAGGGATATTATTTAAATTTAAATTCATTAATTTTTCATTATGAATTCATAATGAAAAATTAATGAATGAATGAAGTATATTTTAACTGAAAATTCAGCTCATTTCATCAATAAATGATCATGATGATGATGATGATCATATTGATATTTATGAAGATGTCAGTAAAAGTCCGGTTGTTGGATTATTGGAATTCATTTTTTTCTCTCTCTCTTCACTGGTTCATCAAGTAGCAGAACACAAATAAACAATTTTTCATCTTCATTTTTTCATTTTCCATCGACGTTTTTCGTATCTCGAAAAACTTTTCTGAAAAAAATTTTAAAGTTAACAAAACTTTGTTTTTGTTGTTGAATATATTTTTTCTTTATCTACTTGAAAAGTGTGGATAAAATTGATAATAATAATATTCACCAGAAAGAAAATTTTTCTACCATAAATCATCACTTCAAATTTGATTCTAAACAAATAAATATATTTGATCACTTGAAATAGCGGAGAGAAAGAGAAAAAAAATATTATCGATAAAGATAAATCGACAATGTCGATAGCGAAGAGAAAATTTACAAGTAAATTCCATTCGTAATTTGTGTTTATCATTTTTTTTTCTTTAAGCATCACTATTAGAATCGAAAAACTACAACATAGAGAGATAAAACTTAGGAACCAAAAAAAAAAAAAAAACCAAAAACATGAAAAAACAACAACCAACCCAAATGTGAAAAATGGATCATCATCATCATTGTGTTGCA